CAAATGACCTGAGTGTGGGGCTGGAGTGATTTCTCAACAGGAAATAAGGATATGGTATCCAGAAGAGGTAAACAGATGCTGGAGAGGCAGAGACCCGTTATGGAATACTGTGATAGGATGCAGAGTGAATTTACTTTGTTGTGATACATAAAGTTGCACATAGTGTTTATAGAATTTATTTGGTACTGATACATCCTGACTTGTATTTTTATATGAGTCTTTTATCCCACATCTGGATAGTAAAACTCTCAAAGACATATATCTGTTGTTAACTATATCAAATATAACACCTACACATGGTAGATAGTGCTAAATATTTTGGGATGCTGCTGAAATAGTGATTTCCTTCTACCAGCATGCTCATCATTGATGGCAAATACCTCTGGAGCTATACTATTATTCACTGTTGGTGGAGAATAAGTTCACACACAGTCCATATTTCATGAGCAAAAAGAAAATGTCATGGCCAATAGCTATTGGTGTAGGGATGGTGACATATGTGAACAATAATTTTGGTGCATTCGAGCCATACCCACAGAATGTGCTTCATGCGCTTTCAAGGAAGAGATTAGATATAGGAAAAGAAAAAAAAAGTTCTTCTCAATTCCAAATACTGGCTCCGGTTCAAATAGAATTTTGTTGTGGCCCTTAGTAGCTATGCCAGACATCCCTTGACTCTTAAACTGTTTAATGTCCAAACATTCAAGAGTATGGGGGGGAAAAAACTGACAGAAAATAAAAATCCTCATAGAACTTCCTGTGACAGGTCAAAGTGTAATCACAGCAAATAATACAGATTTCCCTTTTATTATAACTACAATTAGAGAGGGCTGGTGTTTTACAAAGCATGTTGTTGGGAGACCTTTTGTAAATTGTAATCTGAAAATCCCAGGCCTATTGAGTGTAATCCTATCCATCAGATGAAGACCTATACAGTAGATACCAAATAGCAAGTTAAATTGAGAACATGAACAGGAAGCAGTCATTAAGAATTACAATGGGTAGGATGCAGAGTTAATTCAGGGAGATATTTTGTTATGAGATAATTACATCACTGGGACAGCTGGAAAGCTGAACACTGTGCTAGGCTGTAGGGCTTGTTCTCTGCCCTGCAGCTGGAGGGTCAGGACAATAGAGACAGCAGAGAGCTAACTTTATGAAATGGTCAGGGGCTTGGCTGACTTAATTGTGCAATAATGACCTATCTGCCTTTTTCTGGATTGTGTTTGTGCAGCTAAACTGGATACAGAGCTTTAGTAAATGCTGAGAATCACTTTTCACTACTTTTTGAATAGACATTCACTTGGATCACATTAACTGAAGCTTTAATGGATAAATATTGAATAGTAATTTTCCTCTAAAGTATCTGAGAGGTATTTTGTTCATATTCAGTRTAGCATGATTGCATTTTTTTTATGTAACTGCAGTCATGTAGTCATTGAAATGGTATTTTTGTCAGTTTACTGAATATCTAGCCAAAAAAAAAGACATTTTAGGAAGTTGTAAATTGTTGGTCAACACAAAGAATTATACAGTGGAAGTTATTTTCCAGTGTTTATATCCAAATGTTCAGACCTGTCTCTGGCTCTTTTGTTTTGCAAGTGTAGAGGTTATAGGCGGCCTAGCCACATTCCTCATTGATTTATATAAATATATTACAGATTGTTAATCTCCAGCCAAATACTCAGGACTTCAGTGTTTGTTTAGCTTGGTTGTTTTTTGTGGAACTTGTTTTTTTACATTAAAATGTCTATCTTTTACTACCTCTCAGAATGACTATTTGATTTGGGGTAATTCTAGAAGGAGTCAATGATGAAAAAACTCATAAATGTTATGTTCTACAACTTGTAAGATTAATATTTATAGCTTTTAGCTCAAAGTGAATTTGCTGCCCATTATGACTAATATAACTTAATTTTTATTGTACTCATGTTTATTAAACAATAAATTCAAAATTTCATATTTACTCATAATAAAGTACTTCCTCAGATATCTTCCCTGAAGTAGTGGGTTTCTGGGATGTTGATGACCAGCACTGGATCCAAAGGGGGAGTATGTTGTAGCATCTCTTAGGACTTTCACTTCCCTTGATGCCACCTGAGAATTTCTAGGGAGACTGTCATGCATGCCACTTCCCAAACAAGGTTTATAATAACACTTCATAAATTTAAAAGGATTATCTCCTTGAACCTAATTGATCAGCTTCTACTAGCATCATTCTTTTGGTAGCCTAGAATATGTAAGTACACACATTAAAATTCTTACAATAATATTTTGGTGTATGCACTGTCACATGTCTCTTTAAAATTCATTCCACTCTTTAAATATTGTCAATTTAAATGATGCCTTTTCTCCAAAGTTTAGCATTTAAGGTGATTAGCAGTGCCTTCAGTGAGTTTGCCTTTACATATGTTGAGCATCCTTTGAAAGTTCAATGTTGAGTTCAATTACTGTAAGTGGCATCAGTGAATCTTAATAGATTTGAAAGAGTAGTATTATATAATTTTGAGGAAAACAACTATGTGGATTAGATGTTATTCATGGATTGTGTCATACAAAGAGTGTTTGAAAACGGTTTCAGTAGATGAAGCAATGTAGCATACTGTTAGGGCTCTTAGGTAACTTGTAAGACAACAGTTTGGGAAACAGGTGACCTTTGGGTTGTGTATTTAGGATCCTTTCATTCTTCTCATTTCATTAGGTCTCTATCTGATTTATTTTTTCTTTTGGAAATTATTGAAATGTCATTGATATAGCACAGAGTTTAAATGTAATAAGAACTGGAACTGCTGAAATCAGTTTTGATTCTGCATGGTGATAAGCAGTGTATTTTTTCAGTATGATATGTATTGATTATAATGGGAAACATTTTAAAAGTAATGTTTGAAAAGCACAACTGTAGTGGATGTAGTTAAGACCCAGTTCTTGTATTCACATTTGATTTTAGTCATACCACTTTTGGTTCATTGCTGTTTTTGCAAATAAGGAGGCTGACTCATAGTGGGATAGGGAGCAGGAATATGGGAGGAATGGACGAACTCTAGATAGGGCAGAGGAATTGGAGGGGAAGGGAGGGGGCATGGGGCAATTAATGATGGTGGAATGTGATGATCATTACTATCCAAAGTACATGTATGAAGACACAAATTGGTGTGAATATATTATGTATACAACCAAAAATATGAAAAATTGTGCTCTATATATGTAATAAGAATTATAATGCATTCTGCTGTCATATATAAAATTTTTAAATTACATTAAAATTAGAATCTGGATGATTTTGGAACTACTATGTCTCCTTCAAAAGAAAGGAAAAGGTGAAGTTGCCCAAGGACGTGGATTTAATAAAAATAAGATGGCTTAAAGGAATATATGCATAAATGGTAGTTACCTCATTATCAAGTTCAAAGAACAGTTTTGATAAACTTCCCCAGTATTATACCCATGCATGATAGCAGTCATACTTTTCATCATAATGGAACTTAGAAAAATTATTAAACAATCTTCAATAAATTTAATTAGGAGTTTTTATTTTATCAGAATATTTTTCCAGAATAGGTTAGCTAAGGGAAAATAACAATTTTAGAAGCATATTTTAAAGCAAAAATTAGAAAATTTGGAATTAGGGAATATGAGGAAAAGCTTCCATTGATTTTGGTTAATTTTAATGTAGTTAGAGAACTCACTTCAAACTGCCCATAACTGAACAGTAGTTTGAATCTAGCTGTGACGTGTATAGAGTTGTTGGTATTCTCTTGTTTGCCCCACCAGATTTAAATTAATTGCAGTCTTCTTTAGATACTTTTAAATTTTAGTTTAGATTCACAGAGAAGTACCAAATGTTGTGGGGCCTGTATCCACCAGAAATGTAGTAAAGTGGCATGGTGAACCAACAAGGCATTGGAAATTTAATAAAAGCAAAAAAGCAATATATGAACCACACAAATAGGAGTATTTTCGTAATTGGGATTTATATATATATGAATGACACAATACCTTAATTTTATTTATTTATTTTTATGTGGTGCTGAGGATCAAACCCAGCACTTTGCACATGCTAGGTGAGCGTCCTACTGCTGAGCCACAACCCCAGCCCCAGTATTTGTTCAGTATTTTTAATGAAAAAATGATATGAATAGCATTTTATTAGCTTTTCCTTAGTAATTATAATTAGTCATGTTAACTGTACCAATCAGTGGGTTTTGGGTGACATTTCTGATTGCCTTCCCTGGGGCCTCTCTTCCTCCTCCCCCATCCCATTCTCTTTCCCTGATAGTCTGACTAAAATTTTACAGAAGCCCTTTTTGTTGTTCTTGAAACTTAAATTTTGAATTAGTTGTAAGGTTTTTAATGGGAAAAAATTGGATGTGTTTATCCAAACGGATAATTAATTATATTTGTTAATCTGTGTTTTTATCATTTAAGGGCACTATAGTTAACCAATGCAGATTTTTTCCTTCAAAAAATAGAAATTTTGGAATTTCACATTGTTTATATTGTGGAATGATGTAATCGAGCTAATTAACAAACCCTCACATATTTTTTATATGTTGTGGTGAAAAACATTTAAAATTTGCTCTTTCAGTCATTTTGAAATATACAGTGCATTATTATAATTCTCTGTTCTGTGTAATAATTCACCAGAATATCAAAGCTTCACATTGTTCCCCATTAATATATACAATTATTATCTGTAAATTGAAAACAAAAATTTTAAAGAGCGACTTTTTAAAATTTCAGTATTGATTAACAGGATATTTGAATTTTAAGACTTTTAAAGAACTTATGCCCTTTCCAGGGAGATAATTTGAAGGCTGTCCATATTCTATCATACTTGTTTTCCCAGGCATGGTTGTGTCACTATCCCAAGGAACAATCAACACTGGCCATTTCTCCATGTGGCTTTTTTTCTTACGAGATGAAACAGGAATCTGTGTAAGACATACAGCTAGCTTTTTTGCTCATTTCACTTACTTATGTCTCTTCCTTTTTTCTTCTAGGCTGTTTGATGTGTGCACAGTGTCACGAACAGACAGAGAAACCAAACTAACACTAGTGTTTGAACACGTTGATCAAGACCTGACCACTTATCTGGATAAAGTTCCGGAGCCTGGAGTGCCTACAGAAACCATAAAGGTACAGAGAATCATCTTTCTGCCTGGTCAGGCAGTCCATGGTTATAGTCTATTTAGCAATAACATTCTCTCCCTCTGAAAATTGCTACAATTAGAGCTCTTGGATCTCAGTATATGATTAAAATATCAAGTAAGAGAGTATATCAAGAGTATACTTGATATTTAAATATCAAGTATATATTAAAATATCAAGTAAGAGAATTATTAAAAGAATGGGATATAATCTGGTTCTTTGAATATCAAAAGACTGGGATATTCAAAGAATGGGGTGTAATCCAGTTTATTAATTTCAGGGTGAAGTGAAATTAACCCTTTAGTTTGTTGTTGTTGTTGTTGTTTTAATTTTGTTTAGTTGTTGATGGATCTTTATATTTTATTTATTTATATGCAGGGCTGAAAATTGAACCCAGTGCCTCATAAACGCTAGGCAAGTGCTCTACCACTGAATCACAACCCCAGGCCCATAATCCTTCAGTTTTAATGCATATTAAAATTATTTAAAATATCTATTTGTACTTTATCTGTGTAGTATAGTAAATATAGCTCAATCTTTTTCTGGTGGTCCATGGCCTCTGAGGGACATGATTTAAACGTCATTCATTAGCACATTGTATGTTATAGTTGTATACTGATTATAGGACATACCTATGTTATGTAAAGCTGAATTACTGGTTTGGGGCTCTTTTTTTCTTTCATATTTTTTCTCATTCAGAGAAAGACCAAATGCCAGGTTATATGCCAAACTCCTGGAGTGTAAAGATGAATAAGATGTACTTTCTGCCCCTTCAGGTCAGCAAGCCAGATGCAGTGTATTGACTACAAGTTTCTTTTTCTCTTAATGTCTAATGGGAAAAGCTGCTTATAAAGTTTTATTGGTCCCAACTTGTGTTCTCTGTACCTGACTTTCCCAGTAAGTCTGTGCACATCACGACGAGGTCTTTTTTGTCTATGTGAATTAGGTGGCTTCTTTAAACAGACTCCCTAGCTCTTCATTCATTGTTTAAAAATGAGTTATAGAACTCAGCATTATTTTATTTATTTACTTTTAACATTTTTATTGGTGCATTATGGTTATACATAATGGTGGGGTTCATTTTCACATGTGTTTGGAATATAATTAGCTGCATTCCAATCCCCAGAACTTCCACTTTTTCTCCCCTCCTTCTATTTCCTAACCCCCTTCTTCTGCTCTACAGGTCTTCCTTTATTTATTGTTTATTCAATTGGTGTTTTATAGATATACATAAAGGTGGAAATCACTGTGGTATATTCCTGTATGTACATAGCATAATTTGGTCAATTTTATCCTGCAGTTCCTTCCTTTTCCCATTTTTCCTCCTTCACCCTCAATATCTTTCCTCTTCTCTATGGTTCTCCCTTTTTTTTTTCCTTCGGATTCCCCACCCACTTTTTAAATTTTTTTTTTTACTTCTTTCTAGCTTCTACATATGAGAGAAAGCATTTGACCTTTGACTTTCTGAATCTGGTTTATTTCACTTAATGTAATGTTCTCCAGATCCATCTATTTACCAGCAGATGCCATAATTTCATTATTCTTTATGGCTGAGTAATGCCGCATTGTGTATACATACCACATTTTTTTAATTCATATCCGGATATCTGGGCTGGTTTCATAACTTGGCTATTGTGAATTGTGCTGTTATAAACATTGGTGAGAGCCTATATCATTATGGTATGTGGATTTGAGTTCCTTGGGATAAATACCAAGGACAGAGATAGCTGGGTTATATGGTGGTTCCATTCCAAGTCATTTAAGGAATCTCCGTAAAGTTTTCCATGGTGGTTTTACTGATTTCAACATCATTTTAGATAGGAGTTAATATATGGAAGTAATTGTTGTTCTCAACAGAGTAAGAATTGTCTTTGAGTGACAGCTTGATGATGTTCCCAGAGACTGATACATTTAGCATTTAATCTAATAAATGACTTATTCATTTGATTTTAGACAAAGGAGTAAGATACATTCTTATGCTTTCTTCAGATATACTATTCTTCAGATATAACTTTCTTCAGATATAACAGAGTATATTTTCTCCCATCTGGCATTCACAAAAGAATGTGGTGCTCATCAGTGGTCCCGTTTCTTCCTGAGCAGTTGCAAGGACATTAAAGCCTCTTGAATTTTGGTGTTCCTTATCACGTGTTCTTGGCCCCTTCTCTCTCTGCCACCCCTTTTTTCCTCTGGTGGTCTGTGGCATCCCTGTAGCTTCATTTCTTTCTTATTTGAGCTTGTCAAAAACCCGTGTTCAGCATGCAGAGCAAGCCCTGTCCCTTCTCGTGTTCTGTTTTCTGATCACATTGGACTAATTGCGGTTCTCCTAGTGTGTGATGCGTGACTTCCTATCTCGATGGCCCTTTCTTATGACATTGCTTTTGCTCCCCCGACCAATAACTGTCTGCTTAAATTTTTCAAGGCCCACCCCAGATACCATTTGATCATCTCTGGATGTCATCTCATGTGCCTTATGACACTTGTCCTGCATATCTCTACTTCATTATTGTTTTGTACCTTTAATTGTGATTACTTATGTACACATCTTACCTATTCATGCATTCTTGTGTCATGACTATGCYATTCACAATGATTTATACATGTAGGTACTCAATAAGTAAGAAACATTCTTCAGATATAACTATTTAAAAATTATTTTTAAAATGACTTCCAGTAGTTTAAATAGACTACCAAAATAAATAATAGTAGCTTTTTGATACATTTCTAAGTTATTTTTGGCCTGCCATTTATATTTTAAGCAGCAAGACAAGGTAACCATATATTTATACCGTACATTTCCACCTTCATGGATTTTTTTTTTTTAGTTTTACATTAAATTCTCTTAGGATATTATAAGCTACTGAGGGGAATTATTTGCAGATGTATTGTGCAGTTTAAATGATTGATGAGCCAAAATGATACATTGATCAGACAGGAGTAGAAATCAAGTGGGATAGGAATATTTTCAAGGGTAGTTGTGGAGGGGCAAGCAGGATAGGAATAGGAACAGGCAAAAGGGTGGTCACCAAAGTGAGATATAGGGGAGGAATAAGGGAATGACTGAGCTGGGAATTGGGGTGTGTATCAGGAAGTGGTTATTACTAGAAGCTTTTGAACAAAGTGACTTGTTAAACGTTTTTGCAAGTTTTTCCTTCTATCTCCAGGGAAAGGGAATGTCACTTCATTCTGTGTTAACAGGAGATTCTCTTGGAGGCTGTTAAATTTCTTCTGCCATCAGGGTCAGTACTCCCACTGATCCTGTGGAGACCAAATTAGCTGGCCAGAATAGTGATGAGGGCAAGGGGTTCTGGTTATTTAAAGTTAATAGTTTATATTTAATAATGTATTGATGTTTTTAAAATAAAATATAACCACGGTCCAATAGTTCCAGCAATGAATTTGAGTATTAATGATTAATTTAACATTTTTTTTTACTAACTTAAGGGCTAATTAATCAGAAGTCCTGTTTTTGACAATTCTCTCTGCATTATGGTATCAAAATACTTCCTAAAATCTTTTTCAAAGGACCCAAATATAAGTATTGACATTGTCTTGCACATATTGGAACATCTCCTGTTGTCAAAATAATTAAAAGAATGTAAAATATTTTAACACAGCTAAGGGAATTTTCTTCTACCAGCTGTGTTTTCTGTGGCACTGTTTACCGTTAACTGGCCACTGAAATTCAGGATATTCTAGTACCCATTCAGGGCCAAATTGCATTAGAAGTTGGATAACCATAGTATGTATAATACAAGATATTATAGGGAGAAAAATCTTTTGTTTACCATTTCATCCACATGTTTATTAGTAAGAATAACTCATGGTGGGCTTACAGATTATCGTCTGACAGTTTCAAATGCTTTAATATCAGAAAATAAAAAGACATAGACATACCTGAAGCCCTAAGTATTTGTGGAGGTCGATAGCTGAGTTAACTCATCAAGGAAATCCCATACTGCACAGTGCTCATATTAGACTTTGATAAAACAAGTTAAGGGTGCAGGACTGAGCTGAACGTTGTTGTGAAGAAGCTCTTAAAAATAAAACAAAATCATTTTTGAAGACACCCATTCTAAATAAACAAACACATGTGCACATCCCATTCATACTTCATCCTGAGGTTCGAATCACATTCTTTGATCTCTGTTGGTGATGTCCTTGAGGTTCACCCATTCTTGGTTGACAGTGACATTTGGATAAAGGAGCCTGTGGAGTCAGCAGATATTCTCATGCTGCCTCATAGGCTGATGATTGACATATCTTGCTTTCCTCTTTTTGATTTAGAATATTGTCTTTGGGTTTGTTCAATTATAGAGGAGTTCAGGACCATCTTTAGTATTTTTATATCACTTGAGGTTTAACACAGTCTCCCATGATTTCCACTCTTAAACTGATAAGGTAATAAATGACACCTTAACAACTGTATTATTTTTTCCTTTTAGAGTTTATGATAAGTTTGGAGTATCTGCTTTTATATCACCTTCCACTTGTGAGGGGCTTTATTTTAAAAAATTCTAAAAAGCTTTCTTTTTTTTTTTTTTTTTTATCTCCCACCCTATAAGAAAGGGTCAGAAAGAACTGTAAATTTTTTCCCTCACCGTTTTCCTTAGTCATTTGGAGCTGCTACCCAGAAAAAGAACTATAGGACAGATTAAATCTGCRGAGAGGCTGCCAGGTAAAGAACAGAATGCTCCTGTTTACTGAACTGCTCAGTTACCCGTACAGTAAATATGGTATCTTTCCTAGGGTGTAACCTGTGCTATCAACCATCTCATAAACTCTCTGGGAACCTACCTAGTTGTCCTTGGACATTCTCTGCATGTTACATGTTTGATAAAACTGGCGCTGTAATTTCACAAGTTYGAAGCACTGAAAGGTCACACAAATCAGAGGCCTCTCTGAAATAGGACAGGGCTCTTTCAGCCCAAAACCATGTGGTCTCTTTTCATGATTCAATTTTGAATAAAAATCATATCTGTGTAGCC